CACAAAAAAGAAAAATTCAAAGGCACATATAAATACGGGATGAATAACCAACACTTAAAAAAAAATAGAAACAGACAACAGTGACTACACACATAAAAATCAACGAATAAATGCTGACAACAGAATTTAGCACGCATCGCTACAAAGAAAACCGTCCAATGCATTTTCAAAATCCACTGATGTTGTTTGTTGCACAACCGCATTGGGTAAACTATTCCACATATCTATTGTGTCTGGGAAAAAGGAGTGGCGGAAAGCATTCGTGCGTGTGAAATAAGGTTGAATTGCTCTACTATTACTAAAACGATCACATCGCCTTCCAGGGGGCTGAATATATAAATCTTTATTTATCTTTGTTGGCCCACTTATAATCTTAAAAATAAATTTGAGGCGATGTTTTCGCATGCGATATTCCAAAGACTCAAGCTCACAGGACTTTAACAAATCTGTGACTGAGTGTGTGCGTCGGTATCTACCGCATATAAAACGGATTGCTATTTTTTGTATTCTTTCAATTTTTGTTCACAACACCTTCTAATGAGGCGACCATACAATACTAGCGTACCCTAAGACAGGACGTATGAATGTTTTGTAAGCACATCTGGTGTGGCCTGTTCCAGTTTTTTTTTAGGAAATACAGTTTTTTGTATGCCTTAGAACAGATGTTATCGATATGCGAGTGCCATTTCAATGTGTGCATAATACTAACTCCTGGGTATTTGAAACAATCGGCATTATTTAAAGGGTGACTTCCGATGTGAGACATGAATGACAATTCCCGCCCACTAGAGTGAATAAGTGTAAATGTCGTCTTGCTATAGTTTATTTCCATGTCCCATATTATACACCACTGATCTAATGCCTGTAAGCACCTATTCAGATTAATTTGGTCACCTTGGCAAGAAACTGGGGAATAAATCGAGCAGTCATCTGCAAAAAGTTTCATTTTAATGGGAGCCTCAACTATTGAACATAGATCATTGACAAATATCAGAAAAAGAATTGGTCCTAAAGCAGATCCTTGGGGAACGCCCGAGTACACGGCTAGTGGTCTTGAAGTGTAATTTTCAATTTTTACAGCCTGTTGATGTGCGGATAAATAGGCCTCTATCCATTTTAATACTTATTCGCTTAATCCTGATCTTTCAAGCTTGAAAAGTAATTTGCGATGAGAGACCTAATTAAAGGCTTTCCTAAAATCGACACAAATTACATCAGTCTGCAGAAGGGCATCGCTGTTTTTATTGAAATCATGGAGCGTTTCAGCTAATTGTGTCGCGGTAGAAAGACCATGTTGAAACCCATGTTGGCTTGCGCAAAGTAACTGGTTAGAATCAAGAAAACTAAGAATTTGTTTGACTAATACATGTTCCAGAACTTTACATCAAACCGGCGTCAAGGATACAGGCCGGTAATTGTTTACTAACGAGTGGTTACCGTTTTTAAAAATCGGAATTACAACTGCATTGCGCCAGTCTTGTGGAAGTGATCGCGTCTCAACCAATTTCACAAATATTACTTCTAAATAAAAAGAGACCCATTCTGCGTATCTCTTGAGAAACTCTGTTGGTAGGTTATCTGGACCACTTCCTATCTTCGCATCTAGCTCAAGCACTAACTGAAAAACACCTTCGCGGTTGATAATAACATGTTTCATTGCGATTGTTGCACTGTTACTGATAGATGCCCCTATCTTATCACCCAGGTCTATTGTGAAAACGGACTGAAAGAAGCGATTAAAAGCATCTGCTAAGTCTTCAACTTTTGTCAGGATATAACCTTCATGTTCGATCTGCTCAATTCTTTCCTTTCTGTCACTGATTTAACGCCAGAATTCGGATGGCGAACTTTTAAGGAAGTTCATAAGCGTTTGGCCAAGGAACTTATTTTTGGAATTCTGATATAACTTATCGGAGCGTCTTGAGCGAAGACATTTTTGTAAACTTGTGTGTAGATGCAGTGAGATTGTCAAGATGGTAATAAACTACACTACCGCCTGAAAGTTTAACAAGAAGGGCTTATTAAAGAGCCGCGATACAACATACCTCAAGTAATGAAGAAAAAAAAAGCACAGAAATGAGCCGGCCTGATCAAGAGAAGGCCACCAACTTAGCTGTTTTTTCGGTGTCGATGAAGCGGAGCTGGGTGAATTTTAAACGAGAAGCATTGCTTTGGGTACTGCACACACTTTGAGCGTCTATCTATCTATCTATCTATCTATCTATCTATCTATCTATCTATCTATCTATCTATCTATCTATCTATCTATCTATCTATCTATCTATCTATCTATCTATCTATCTATCTATCTATCTATCTATCTATCTATCTATCTATCTATCTATCTATCTATCTATCTATCTATCTATCTATCTATCTATCTATCTATCTATCTATCTATCTATCTATCTATCTATCTATCTATCTATCTATCTATCTATCTATCTATCTATCTATCTATCTATCTATCTATCTATCTATCTATCTATCTATCTATCTATCTATCTATCTATCTATCTATCTATCTATCTATCTATCTATCTACGTCGGGTCTGGGTGCTCTCGTGATCACACTCCTAACATGGGGGAAGCTAAAATTAGTGAGGGAGCAAGATGGTTTGACGAATATGACTCAAAACGTGAATAAGGTCACAACACCGCTCGTACATCGTCAAACCCATTTCGCGAAAAGAGTCGCACATGCATGCTGCCGCATATGTGCCACAGGTGATTGACAGTTTAATTGACTGCCCAGGAACGGCGAGAGCAGACATGCATAATTTTAACTCATGAGCATTAAGAAAAAAAGCTGACATTGGCAGCGTTCGTCCGGCGAATGGAAAGAATAAATGTCCGAGTCTCAGCAGGAATCGAACTCCAACACTCCGCGTGGCTATCAAGTGTTCTGCGACAGAGCCACGCCACGTCCCGGAACTACATGTTTTCCCGCTTAATTCTATTCAAGCGCCAGCTAAATTAATCTAGGCGCCAGTTATTTTAATCCACCCGCCACTCAACTTTTTCCAAGTGCTAGTCATGTTAATCCGAGTGCCACTGAAATTGATACAACTGCCAGCCGATTTATTCGAGACACCAGTGAATTTAATAATGACTACATCGCGAATTTAAAGTGACCCAGAATTTTCGGGAATGCGTGGAGTGAAAAGCTTTGTAGTGAACTTAAGCGAAAATATTATCAATATGTGTAGAATAAACAATGTATGAGTCACTAGTGAAACAGTGTGACTTGCGCGACTTCATCACGCCTATCACCCGCATGCGCACAATTCACACCTTCGACATGCATATCAAAGGAAACGCCGTCCACACAGTAATAACTCTATACTTATTGCCCATGCCAATGACTTGATCACTAGTGACTCAGGTGACGTCACAACGCATATCACCCACGCACGCACTGTCTTAACCTGCCGTCATGCATATCGAACGAAACGCCTTTGGAAGGGCAGGAACGCGACACCTAAGACTCGGCCAAATGACTTGATTACTAGTGACTCATTCATTGTTTATTCTACACATCTTCATAATATTTCCTATAAATTCAATCCACGCGTTCCTGAAAATTCTGGGTCACTTTGAAGTCGTGATAGTCAAGATGAAGTTTGCCCGCGTCTGTATTAAATTGGCTGGTGGTTGGATTACTTTCAGTGGCGGCTGTATTAAATTGACTGGTGCCTAGATCAATTTAGCTGGCGCTTGAATTGAAGTAAGCGGAAAAACCTGTACTTTTAAAATAGACACTGATCTTTATGCGACGTCAAATGTGGCTGAACAGGCGCCTTTCCAGTTTTATAAACATTACATGTGTACTCCTATGATACAGCCGTCCGGTCGGGTTAACGTCAATTAGAGTTAGGTACCATCCGCCGAGGTTGATTTATGTAGCAGTGTCCAGGGCTACCATCCTTGCGAGCAACAGTGCTTCATATGAACTTACCGCTTCTCGTGACGGTAATATATATGTTGCTCTTGGCATCATTACGTAACTGTAAACAATTGTCTGTATAAATATATCCGGCTGTTTAACGTACGTCTGATGCCTGAATGTGTGCATGTATTTAGCGCCACGTTGTAACGTTTCGCTCCGTAAAAAAATGATTACAACACAGTGACCTTTTAACCGCATGCGTTGGATAACATCGATTCCCAAGGTACGTGGGTTCTGACGAACTTTTTTTTTGTCTAAGACACGCTCTAAAGGTGCGAATTCTGCTAGAAAATGTATCGAAAGATTTATTTGAGTGGAAATTAGTATGAAATTAGGTTGCATGCTACTGCATCCAAATGCGGATTACCAACGTTCATGACTTGCACGCCAATATTGGCGTCACGGCGTTTTGTTACCTGCCCGAGAACAGTGGAACATGGCCTCTCGTGAGTTCTTCCTATAAAGCACGAAGTGTCCTCCACTACGCCGTTGTGTTCAACAACAACAACAACAAGAAAAAAGAACAGACGGGAATCCGTGCGAAGCTAGCGTGGTCACTGGGTGGGCCGCCGAGTTATTATTAACAGAGCACGAATCGCGAGTAGGACTGGTGCATGGAGTATGCAAGAAGGAAGGGAGGGCTCTTATTTCGGAGTGAGAGTTTGAGATCCGGTCGCTGCAGAGCCAAGGTCGTCGTTCAAGTGGCACCTTTCGCGTGGTTGACACGTACTCTCGAACAAACGCGAGACATGCGTACGTGTAGAAAGCCCTGTGAAGTTTGAAAGTGGGAGGGGAAGGGGGGGGGGGGGTGTCGCATTCCTCTCATAGGTGAGCTCCGCTGACCCGGCTGCAAACTGGTCCTTTCTTTTTTTGAAAACAAGGCAAGGTGCACGCCCGTTTCTTCGAGTTCGTGTAATAGCAGGTGAAAGCGCTTTGTGGGTCCTGTAACAACAACAACAAAAAAAAAAAAAGCACAGAAACACGTTATGCGCTTTGAAACGGCTCTATAAAAGGGGGAAACCCTCCATCGAGAGGGTCAGTGTAGACTCAGCACCCATAGCTGCCAGAATATGATCGCTCAGGTAAGTTCCGGTGGGAGAAACAGCACGACTTGTGCCGGCCGCTGTCAATGATCTCACCGCTATCCCTTAATCTACGCTGAACTTTTTTGATGTTGGTATGACAAGTAAGCTGTTTTCCGTGCGATCGTCTCGGTGTCGATGTAGCCAGCACAGCATGGTTTCCGACCACTTAAGGTGACGCGGCGCGTAGTTGTCAGGGCAACGAAAGCGACACTGGTTTACCGTTAGTCTTAAACACCCATATCACCAGATTTCCACAGCTACTGACGGCTTGGAATGAGGTGCTTGCTTACCTAGCTTGTTTACCATGACGCGTCAGGGCAATTGTTCGTAGTTTAGGGCTTATGTAATGGCTGAAATGGCCAAGTTTAGCCCAATTAAGAGATCGCTGTGTATGCGTGCGGCTGAAGGCTTACGCCGGTATGATAGATTATCAAACCGTAGTAAGCCGGGCTGGTTGTACATTTAAAGCGATATTTTCATTCTATAACGGCGATGACTGACAGTTAGTGGTCTATCTTCAAAAAATACAATCCTGTGATCCTGTGTTGTATAATGACGTTGATTTCAAGACCAGCTCCTCCTTGTTTGTCGACGTGTGAAGCCACCTCGAAAAGAAAAAAAATGGTATTATTGATGGGGACGTTGTAATTTTTGTTACCTTTCTGTGCTAGCATAACTTTGAATACCATGGCGTGTTTAGGGGCATTCGACTCCAGTCGGAAGTAGCGCCAGGGCTTAAGTGGCGTCAGTCCGTTTGGGCCACTTACCAATACTGAACCACATTGCAGGTGACTCTGTTGTTGGTCGTCTCGACCGTGGCTCTGGCGGGAGGACACGGCGGCTACGGTCATCACGGAGGATCCAGCAAAACGTACAGGAAACAGAATGTGCGTAGTTATTGCACCACATTATTATCGTCATTTGCTAGCAGTTCATAGCAACTTCTTTTGTGAAGAGTTTCCATAGTCCAGGTTTCTGTGTCAAACTTTTAATGTCCAAAAAGTGCGGTGAGTGTTTTTGCACTGGCAGACGTACACAGTTTCTCATTTTTAGTGTGAAAACATGCAAGTTTGCGAACGACCGCTATTTTAACGAACCCTAATTTCAAGATATTATAAAGAAATAAATGGTGGGTACTGTAGCCTGCCGAATTCTCACACTGTTGGCTAAGAACAACGGCGTATAGCGGAGGGCTCAGGGTGAATTTCGACTCCCAAAAAGCTCTTCAACGCGTGCACCTAAACAGCGACACACAATCGCTCTTGCATTCTGCAATAATAGGAAAGTGGTCGCAATGGTCGGGGGTCAAACTGACAAACCTAAATGGAGCACCGCTACGCCATATTCACCGAGGGCATTTATTGCGATGTTCCATCTTAATACAACGATTCCCAACAATAATGTTCCAATTGTATTCACCAACCTGCTCTAAGAGCACGCATTCTTGATTACTGAATTGAAATTGTCGCATAGACAAAAAAAGTTGGTGAGATTAAGCTAACTAAACACTGCACTTCTTCATCTGCTCTCGTATTCTCAGGACCACGGCCACTACAGCTTCGGCTACGACATCGTCAACGGTTACGGCGCCGTCAATGGCCGCCACGAGACCGGCGCGGCGTACGGCCCCGTGCACGGCTCGTACTACCTGGGCGACATCGACGGCCGCCACAGGCAGGTGCACTACGTAGCCGACAAGTGGGGCTTCCGAGCCATGGTGAAGACCAACGAGCCCGGAACCAAGAGCAGCCTGCCGGCCGCCGCTCCCTATCACTCGGCCCACGGAAAGACAGTGCCCGCCTACGGTCACGGTGGATACGGTGGATATGGCGGATATGGTGGATATGGAGGATACGGTGGCTACGGAGGCTATGGATACTACGGCTAGGATGTTGTCTTCGTTTTTCTAGTGCTTCCACGTCTCCCTTCGATGTTCTTCTCTCGTGCACCTTCCTTGTCGTGAGTAATTCAGTCTTGCTGTGTGTCCATTTATTCTTATACGTAGCTGTGCTACGTAGCTGTGCTAGACATGCACCTACAGGTTCACGATTCTATCAAATAATTATTTCATTCGAGCTCAAGCTAGGACTGGTCGTATGCATCGTATCGATAGCGTGACATATAGTGTAATACATATATCGTTTAAAGTAACCGGCCCACCGAGGCACGACAGAACCGCAGGGCAGAGGAAAAGCACATTGTATCTTTAATTCATGTACACAAAATAAGAGTAGTCTTGCATAGCTTCGTTACACTCCAATGAAAATTTAACTGAGGAAAATAGTAGGTCCATTGGTAGGTCAGGGTCGTAGTGGAGATCAGCTGTTTTACTAGCCTAGCCTTTTCACCAGAGCTGGATGTAAGGCAGCGAGTGGCTTATGGCTTTTCACCACCGCAGCGCATCGTTCAGTTAAAAAAACAAAACAAACATAGATACTCCACTACAAGTCTGTGATTTCTTAGTGCGCATAGCGTGACCTCTTATACGTAGCTTCACTCACTCAGAACTTCTATATGTTCGCGTAAAAAATAATTAACGTTAAATTAGCGATGGCTGTCGTTCAAGGAATAGTACTATGAATATAGCAGTTTTTTACGTATTCCGAACAACCAGCCCTTCCTCTGTTTTAAGAGCCTTATAATAGCCTCAAACTTGTACTCATGCTCTCTACTTTACATAAACATTCAGCTGGTCACTTTCGCTGCAACCAGTAGCAGTTCATATATAAATTTAGTGGCTCACAAAAAGACCAGGGTACGGAGAAAAAGGGTGCGTTATCTACCATAAAATTTTCCTTGTGTGCTCCTTTTTGCGCTGTATATCACGAATTTGCTTCCAAATCACCCATCTCTCTGATCCAGCAACTTTGATATCTGACCATACGTGCATCATGGCCATCACACAAATTATTCATCTGTCTATAAGAAATGAAAAAGGAACGATACAAACGGGCTTACGCCTTCATAAATCATCGGCTGTACCTTTAGACTTTGAATTGTCGTCTACTGTGAATTACAATCAGCCTGGATTTTTAAAATCCAGCGTAAATCACGGTCTCAACATTATGTTTATGTTTTAAAATGATTTAAGTGTCGTTTCACGAACAGCATATCGTTTGGTGTGTGATGTATTCAGTAGTGCTGTGTTAGCTGCCTGTTCCCAAGTCATCTTACTAATTTACTCTTTCATGCATTGCCTTTCAGAGCAGCTCCTGTGGCTTGTGGCTATAGTTCTTCACTTCCCCTTGTTCTTTCAGCATATATGTAAACCAAAGAAAAATGTAAGAAAGCCCCAAAGAACTGAAGACCTTACGTGCGCTTGCCCATGTCAAGACGATGACTTTTTCCTAAATGTGCTCTCTTAATTTCTACGCTATTTCTGCTTCTCCGCCTGTTTGCTATTTCTGACGTTTCATCTCTCCAGGTTCTCCGTTTTCGCCTAAAGCTTTTCTCTACCTCCGGTGCTCTATCTTCGCTTGTTGTGCAAGAATGCTGTGTAAATAAATGTACAATGTCCACGGATCACATCTGCCTGTTTCACTCTTTGTACTCTCCTACACAGCAGCATTCAAGCTGTACGACACCGCATATAATACAAAACAATATTATAGAACAATATAAAAAGTTCTTTCACGGCAAAGCTGTTATCTGTCACTCGCACAATATTTACTGAGATGTGATTGGGATGATCAAGTAAGACACAGAGATACACAAAAGATGCGACACAGGCAAGCGCTGTCTGTGAATGTGATCTTGCTTGTTTCATTAAAAATGTCTTTAGAGAGAACCTAAAGTCTTAAAACAACATGTTTAGCTCGTAGCAAGTAAGGGTGACCAAGGTACTTCTTAAGGATAATGTGCCTGCACCAGTGGCTGTAGACCGTATTAACGTTAGCTATGGACTTTCTGCCATGATGTAGTCCGCAGTGATCGTGACTGGCCGTGATGTACGGGCTGGCTCCCTGTTTCTATCTCATCTGCTTTCTTAGATTTCGATTTTCATCACTTTCTGACGTAAAGAACCGAACAAAACTATTTTTTGGGTTAAGTGTACTGCCTTATTGTTCTCTCTCACGACACTAACCATGTGAAAAACTCGGTATCCTTTGTGCCACCACGGGAGTGCAGCTCCACGACGTCCCATACCCCCTCCCCCCCCCCTTACTACACGAAATTGCCGAGATTTCACATTTCAGGCAACAATGGCCATCGAGAGAAAGTCGAATGCCACAAAACTCGCACTTATCATCACGCTAAAGCCGGCAGCTTTCCGAAGGCAACCTAGCAGAACTTATTGTTGAACGAGGTTGTGCATTGAAGCGATTCAAGGAGTGGTGCGAAGAAAACAACAAATTCGAACCGGTACAATGTACTCCCTTCTGAGTTCTGTCTTTCTTTCTTCCTTTCTCTCTCGTGCCACGTGTGTTTCAGCGCGCATTCTTTCAAGCTCGCGGCGATGTTCAGCAAACTCGTTCATGGCCATCGCGAAGAGAACCCGCTTCAGCGCTTAAAACAGAGCGCAACCGCAAACGTTAGGAATGCTGAGTCGCTAGGTGGTCAACGACAGGAAGCCCGCACTCTGCCTTCTAGGGGGTTACTTACAACGTTGAAATTGCCTCACGGTTCAGTGGACGTGTAAACTGACATACAGTTCTTTGTGTCATTCTTACTACAAAATCGCCACTTCGTGAATACGTTGTTGATAAATGCAGAACTTGTAGCTTACGGAAAAGAGGGTTTGTGTTTAGTGGAGAAGAAGTGTTTAATGGTGAAGTTTCATTATTTTGTTATAAACGCCGTGGCCGTTATTTATTCATACATCTTGATTTCTAATGGTCAGGTGAGTTTCACGTGCTATGCATACGGTGGGATTCGCAAGTAAATATTTACGAACTTCTCCTAACATCTGTGCTTATAAAGCTTGGTAGAATAAAAAAAATAAAGCTATTCTGGCATATATTGGGATACAAATACGCGTTGAAAGGAAACCAAGAGAGAGGGATGTTAACTAGTCTGGCATAACTGATATACCAACTACAGGGGAAAGGAGCGGGGGAGATAGAAAGGAGAGTAAAGAAAGAGAGGAAGATAGGGGAAGCACACACGCACATACATTACGTATCAGCGCCGAGCGGCTGTCTAAGGCGGTATATGGCATCGCAGTTTAAAGCCGCCCGTGCAAATCTGTTGTGCTTAGAAATTTTAGCAATGCGTTGGTTGTTTGAATTATCGATGATTTTTCAGGATTACACTGAAAAATAGTGTCTAGTGTGATCGTTTTGTTGTCAAGGCAAGCGCGATCACATGAGAGGGATCGTCTCTGCACAGCGTAGCGAGGACAGCCGCAGAAGATATGTTGGAATAGAGAGAGAGAGAAACGAGAAAAAAAGGAAGGCAGGGAGGTTAACCAGATGCTAGTATCCGGTATGCTAACCTACACTGGGGTTAGGGAATAGGGTGTTGAAAGAGAAAGAGAGAGTCAAAAAATAAATGAGAGAAAAACACCGACACACACGCACACACAAATTCAGTCCACTCAGAGGCGTTGTGACCGGCCAGTAGTTCGCAAGAAGCCCAGTAGCGCTTGCACGGCTTTCTTTTGTGACAATGAGTCATGACGATGGCGCAGTATTCCTTCTTCTGACAGCGGCTGGTCATCTAACCTGTTTAGTTTATTAGAAAGGTGTTGTCTTTCCAGGTTGTATTTCGGGCAGTCACACAGGATATGTCGAATTGTTTCTTCATCTCCGCAGTGTGCACAGTCGGCGGTGTCGGCCATACCTATGCGGAAAGCGTACGCACGGGTAAACGCGACTCCCAACCATAGTCTGCACAGAGCAGCAGCGTCACCTCGTCGAATTTTTTTTTTGGAAGCTGTAAGCTTAACGTTGTATAAAGCATCGTAATCTTGCATGCGTAAAGAGAGGCTCATTCCAAAGAGCCATGGAGCGTTGGTGAGCAAGCATGTGGAGCCTCCTAGCAGCGTCCGTCCTTGAGAGAGGTATTGACTGTTTGTTGTCTTCTGTATGAGCTGAACGGGCAGCTTGATCAGCTTGTTCGTTAGCGATAATTCCACAGTGGCTTGACAACCACTGAAAAATAACGTGGTGCCCTTTCTGTGTTATATGGTGTAGCACTTCTGCTGTTTCAAATACCAACTGCTCGTGTGGACCACGGCGTAGATCTGACAGAAGGGACTGCAGTGCCGCCTTGCAGTCGCAGAAAATCGTCCACCGTTGCGTGCTTCGGTCGTTAATGAAACGCAGCGCAGCGCTAAGCGCTGAGAGCTCTGCTGCCGTTGTGGTTGCATGAGCTGTCCTAAGTTTGATGGTTGTGGCGTGCATTGGAATAACGACCGCCGCAGTTGAGCTGTTTGGCAGGACGGAGCCGTCGGTGTAGACGTGGGTGCAGTCTTGGTACTTCTCGTACAGCAGAAGTAAGGCGAGCTGCTTGAGGGCTGGTATTGAGAAATCTCGTTTTTTCTGGATGCCTGGTATTGTCAGGTTGATGACTGCCTGTTTGAGGCACCATGGAGGAATTGAAGGTCTCGCCGCGGACGTAAAACCAGTTGGTAGGGAGTCACCATGTGTAGTTATTGTTCGACAAAAGGAAGTATGAGGTCTATCCGCTGGTAGAGAGGCTAGATGGTGATGGGGTGTCCGGCCCACATGCCTTATGTGTGTCCTCAAAGCTTCAATTTCAATATGGGTCTCCACGAGGTGTTGGAAAGTCTCTCCGGTACTGCAGGCGTGGCAACAACAACAACATCAACAACAACAACAACAACAACAACAACAACAACAACAACAACAACAACAACAACAACAACAACAACAACAACAACAACAACAACAACAACAACAACAACAACAACAACAACAACAACAACAACAACAACAACAACAACAACAACAACAAAAACAACATTCCAGACCTACGCAGAAGGCACAGCACAGTCACAGCAAAAGCTGGAAGAGAGGCCTTTTCGAGCCTTTTCAAACACTCATTAGGTAACTGCTGCAAGCACACTTGCTTGGTACCCATTACGACGTTAATAACAATAATTTCTCGGTAGTAGGTTGGCTGTTTTCGGCATTATTCCGAGAAGCGTATTGTCTGCTAAACACTTGGAAAAAAATTTGTGCCATTTGTTCTTGCAGTGGCTGACGACGATAGAGATTATGCTTGAAGTAGGTGTACGTGCGCCAAAGTTGTAATGGGTTGGAGCATTGGACGACCCACTAATTACGCTATTCACATTGTGCGACGCCTGTTACTTTTTTTTGCTGTTCTAAAACGCTTAACTAGTCACGTTAACGCAATTCCTTTCTCGACATCAAAGCCCGCCGGAGGCAAGTTTGCGTACAATTCCAAAGCATGGGCATGGCTCAGCGGTAGAATACTGGGCTGGCTTTTAGCGGACCCGGGTTCAAGCCCCACTGTGTCATTGGTACTAAGTTTTTTTATACTTCATGCGATCTCCATGCGATCTCCATGGTTACGGGTGGCAGAGGCGGCGGCGGACAACTACGGAGCCGCGCGTGACCCAAGTTTTGATCTCATAACAGCTTTCGCTGTAAAAAATGTTCTCCGCAATCCCTATCCGAAGTGAACATGACTTCTTGAAAACTACTTTTAGCCATAAGCGGCACAGCAGAGTGGCATCTCTTCGGCGGAGTCTAGTCAGTATTTGACACCGCCGCAGCGCATTTAGGAGGCATTGCCGATGATTTCGGCTTGTCAAAGTATTCTGTGTTGAGTGTGAAACACCCATTGCCACTCATCTACGCATGACAGCAGCATCAGACCTTGAAAGGGGTATAGCCTCTACCTTGTCGCCTTGCATAGCTCAGCGGGCAGCGTTATCGGTATTGTTATGACCGTCGTCAGTAGGCGCCATGCTGTCGCTGAGAAGCGTAGCCGGGCAGCGCTCCCACGCCTGGAACCCTAGTTCTCTCGGAACCAACGTCCAGAGCTGACGGGGGAGCGGCGCTCTTTTATTCCTCAAACAAGTAGCCAACTGGCTGGCTGCCCTATGTCCGCCAGGTATTGTCCCTGCTAGCTGGAGGATGAGACGTCGTGTCGCCACGACGCCGTAAGCAGTTCCAGAGAGGACAACAAAGACATCTTCCTTGGAAGAAACCGTGGCCGCCGCCACAAATTGCCCTGTTAATTTAGTGAACAGATCGGCGGACCGTTTGGTGTATGCTGTTAGGAGCTTGGGACCCCTCGAACAGCGGGACACACACGACGAGGAAGAGCCCCACTGGAGCTACCTTGCAGTGCAGTGATCATGACTCAATATTGGATGTTCACGTGGGCCGTGCATGCTCGTACCCCTCGCCTGTCGTGCGTGCCTATTGGTGTTCCACTCAAGAAGGAGGAGCCAGACAGGGCTTATAACGACGCCGCAGAGTGCGGGTAGTCGCTCTGAACCATGTAACGGTACAACCACCACGCTCGTGGTTTGTGCGACTCCTAACCTCATGCTGCAAATAAGTGTAAACAGTGCCATAAACCTGTTTGT